ACCCCGCTGGTGTTCCGACATCGTGTTACGCAATGAACTCTGTGCTCTGCAGCGGCGAGCTGGAGCTTTGCCTATACTCGCTCCGCCCTCCCGCCCACAGAGATGATGACATTTTAGGGATGAAGCTGGACTCTCTTAATTTGGTGTTGGAGGGGCGAATGTTGTCCAAGATAAAGACAATGTTGGCTAATTCCTCCCACCCACTCCATGACATGCTGCTAGCCACAGGACATGTTCAGTGAGAGACTGGACATCAAAAGCACCACTGCACGACACAGGAAATCATTCCTTTATTTATCAGTAAGTGAATTATTTGTATGTATATATTGTGCTACTTCTTGTACTTCTTGTATTGTCTGTTTTGTTACTGTTTATTACTGGCACACCTCTAACCAACATAATTTCCCCTAGGGATCAATAAAGTATCTGATCTGATTTACCACCTTTTGTGTTTTTGTGGGTTGATCAGCCACTATTTTAAGTTTCCCCTTTGTCTCGCTAGGTAGGTCAGTTTGTTTGAGTTATAAGTATGTTTGCAACTTTGAGTAGAGTTCTGTTACTTTGACCCAAGATTCAATTTTTTGTGTAATGTAACCAACTTTGTTTTGAGGGAGCTACGGGGCCTCATCTGCTTCCTTTACTTCCTTCTGTCATGAATAATGTCATAGTAAAATGGATCAGGAGACCTGTGAATGTAAAAGTAATGCCTTACACCAAAATGTCCATGTTTTCTGCTGATGTTTTAATATGTTTGCCTCTTGAACACACTCACCTACTTTTCACTGTGAGGAACAGTGGATCAGAAGAAAGTTGGCCTTATAGGAGAGCACTAAAAAAGATGGGAGTTGGAAATGCATATAGGGGCACATTTAGCCAGCTGTACCTCGTCAACTCAGGTCACCATCTGTTCTCATCAGATTTCACTGCTTCCTCTTACAGTCCTATGACAGTTGCAGATGCATTCATTTCCGGCACACAACTTCCTGCTCAACCAACATGCCTTTAAAGTGGCATAAGAGAGCGATCAACTAGAAGTCAGACTCTCACGCTTGTTTCCAATCTGAACATCCATATCCAGCAGGACACTGACTTGGTAAAGAAAAACACAAGATTTTCATTTATTTAAAAAAATATTTTTTCAACATGTTGCTTTAAATAAACATGGAGACAGTTCCATATTTATGTTGTTTATAAAATAAATATAAGAATTATGCTACATTTTGCTTCTATTTCACTATATTTTGGAAACAAATATTAGTTTATATTATACAATATTGCAAACCATAGGTTTATTTTAGTCATTGCCATTTTTTGCTGGTTGGCAACCATTAGTGAGGGTAATTTGGGTCAACAACAACAAGGCATTTATGCTGCATTATGACAGAAACGGGTCCTTCTTGTGTTCACCATGCTTCATTAAATGTTACAAAGGATCTCCACTGGACAGCGGACTACACTTTGGAAAATCTTCTGCTCTGTAATTGTTTTAGCATGTTGCATTGCTTGATTACATCTACCTTTAAGTGCACAACTGCTTCTCAAGTTTACTAAGAAAAGGCTTTTGAAGTGGTTAGCACTGTTACAGCCCTCTTCTTCAACTTGGGTGTTCGAACCCACTGTGTACTAATAAATTCAGTAGTCTGTAGGCATGCCTGTTTGGTTAACTGATGATTTTAAGGTGACCAATGATGTTTAATGTTTAAGAACATAAAAATGATCTGTTGTGATAGACCAAGGAACACCGCATACCCATCCTTGTGCCTGAGGGGAGCTAGGATTGATCCCAACCATGAACCATAAAATGTATTAACAGTTTTAAGACCACACTTTATGCACCATACTTAAACAGAGGACGTCATTAGAAAAAAGGGAAGAAAACTGGTCACATTTCTATAGTGTCATTTCAAAAGGAAGCAGATAAGAATGACTTGATGGTTAAAGGTTAAGAACTTTTTTTTTTTTTACTGCTTCCAGATGAGTTACAGGGCTAGGAGTCTTCTGACCTGGTGCCTTTATTGCCCTCAATAACTTTTAACCAGCAGCTAATGGCTTCAGAAGTGATGAGGGGAGCTACGGGGGCCTCATCTTGCTTCCTTTACTTTCCTTCTGTCATGAATATATTGTTATAGTAAGTGGATCAGGAGACCTGTGAATGTAAAAGTAATCACTTACACAAAATGGTCCATGTTTTTCTGCTGATGTTTTTAATATGTTTGCCTCTTGAACACACTCACCAGATTTTCATTTATTTAAAAATATTTTAATGCACCATTAATAAAGGGTCCAACGCATTAATACAAGAGAAATATTGCAATAATATTAAATAATCATCAAATTAAAGGAAAAACAATAAAAAATAAATGAATGGAAGGTATGTACATGTTTCCTCCTCATTGAGTAAGGAAACGGAACAACATATTTACAGCTTGGAATCAGTGTGTTTCTACAAGAAACACCTCTACAATATTTACATGTACTTCTTTGTTTTTTGTTTTTGCTTTTGTTTTTTCCTTTCATCTTTTTCCTTTATTAAGAGGGTTGGTTTGTACTGAAAGGCTTCATTGCAAAGAAATATCTTACTTTTCCTGTTTGGGAAAGAACAAAAACAGGAGTTTAGTTAAAAGTTCAACATCAAAGTTAAACTTTGGACGGCCATAGCCATGAAAATAAAAAAAAGACAACACAAAAGGTCACTGAAATCCCCGTCTGCAACGTATCAGAAACTGGCTAGGATTGTTAACCTCGCAGGGACACGGACACTTTCACCTATCTACAATGCAAACAGACTGTAAGCAGGATTTTTTTTTTTTTTGAGTTACGATCTTTCAGAAGGGATGACTGAAGTAAATATAATGCATTCTCATGAATTCTGCAAAGATCTGCAACACAAGGGGAAAACAAGAACTTTAAGTCTTTGAACAGAAACCAAATCAAATAAATGTGCCTTACAAACAGATCTGCCAAGTTACCTCGAAGGAGTTCTTCTTCTTATTATAACTTTATTTGACTTGGGGCTCTGCTAGAAATGCAAACTTGTAGCAAATGGCTGCAAAGCCAGCAGCATTGTTCACAAACTCACTTGTGTAATTCAGAACTTAACAAAGTAACTAGGGAGAAGGATTTGCAGAAAACGCTTTTGTCAATTGTTTAAACAGGAATTTGTGCGCGTTGAAACGAAACAGGGTGATATATTGTAAGCAGCAACAAAACCTTTTCTTGACTTACGTCACTGACATACATGCTTTTAACCAACAAACGCAACGGCTGTGAAACCAGCGTCATTGCTAATAGGATTGCGTCCTTTGTGAATCTTTAGAATTCACCCACAAACAGGGACGTGACCTTGTCGACAACGAAACATACTTTTGCGACTTCTCTGTTGACACAGCAGATATAGCGTGCCAAATCATCGCTGAAACAAGCGATTCGAGTTATGAACGTATACACTCCCCTCCATTGTGTTGGTGATAGAAACAGTCATTGACAATTTCTGATCCCACCCCACTGGACATGTGCTCAACTGCATTTCACAAGCACAGCCCTAATTATTGTAGATGAATAAAGAACCACAAAGAGCGCACAAATAATTTGTTAAAAGCACCTATGTCAGTATCCATAAGTTTGGAGAAGAACAAAAAAAAAAAAAAAAAAACATAAAAAGGGGAATATAAAGTTTAGCAGTGCATTTAAAAACAAAAAAAAAAAAAAAAAAAAAAACAAAAAACACGCACACTGTAAGCTGAAACCTAAATTACACATTTCACAGTGGGTTAAAACGGCTTTACTCTCATACAGACTGTTGCAAAACAGGAGAGTAACACACAGTGGAGAGGAAGGATTTATAGGGCTGGTGGATCACAAAGCCACTGAGGACAGTGGATGGTACACTGAAGCTCATTCACTGTAAATACTTACAGCTAATGCAAATAAGTAACAATTTAATAACAGCAATAGTAATATTAATACTATGAAATGAAATTTAAAAAAAAGCTCCAAAACAACCTCAGGTTGGAAATCTTGCATAACTGAAGACCAAATTGATTGAAGTGATTTATCTTAAAAGTTACCCTTAGTGAGCGAGTCTAAAACCTGAATTTTTCTGGTATTCGTGTGCGTCTCTGTGCGGATTTGTATGGGTGCGTGGTTACAGAAGGAATTCGACACTAGAGGAGTGATCCTGGACGACGCCGACAAAGAAAGCCCTTTCAGACATGACCTCCTTATCATTAACGTGACGGCATCCAAATGCACTGCTTCACATCTGGATAAACACCTGGCTTCTGTAATTGTCACACAAGAAATCTTAGAGAGTAGGAGCTGCACAACTCTGCTTGCTGCCAAGTCTACAGATAGTTATGCACAATATTATTTTTGCACGTCTTGTGCATGTTTGTGAATTATTAAGTGCCCTATCAGCAGTAACTTCTGGACGGCATTTTTCTACGATGTTTTATTAAAGATCAAAGCGTCCCCCACCGATTTGTTTCAGCTACACCATAAAGAAAAAAAACAATATTTCAGAGGCTGTTATGCGAGAATACAACTTCCACGCAGCTGCAACACTGAACGTGCTGCTCTTAGAGATAATGGCAAGGAAATGAACACCGAAATTGTAGTTTCACTTCACTAAAGTCGTTACTAACAATAGTTATTTACAAAAATATAATCCTTTTGAAAGTAAGTCATGAGGAACATAAAAATGAACCCATGTCTGACTGATGCCGTCACTTTAAAAGAGTAATGAAGCATGTCTGAAGAGTGCCAATAAACATTTGTCCTTTTCTATTTTTCTCCACATTGTCTCCTTTCAAACGGATGCCGGCATGGAATCCAAATCCTTCATGCCCTGACTGACGCAACAACTTCCTTGGAGCACCCGGTTTTGTCCAGTAATACTGCCACTACGAGCTGATGCTAAAGGCCTTGTCATGCATCGAGAGCCAGATGACGCCAATCCATCACCACTAGCTTGTGGAACTGCCTAGAGAATGAAACTGCGTGTGAAAAGTGCCAAGTGTGTGCGTGTCTACGTCCTAGGTACTGTGAGGCCGGCTATGAGGCCATGAGGAGGGGCAGCATAGTGTACTGGGGTGGTTCAAGTTACACATTTAGGAGAGCGAACTCATGGGGAAAGGGAGGTGTTTACGGGTATGGCTGGCCATTGGTAAGTGTGGTAGAGAAGTGCGTTGACTAGTTGAGCGTCCCACGACAGTTCTCCGTTCCGCACAGACAAGGGATCTTTTCTCCTCCAGTGGAACTTGTAATCATACGTGATCTCTTCGTTGACGGCAATGGGTTGCTTTGAGTAGATCACAATCTTTTTCTGGGACTCTATGGTGATGACCTTGGCGTAGCAGTTTGGCTGCAAGGGGGGAAAAGCATCGACAGACTGATGGGCGACAGCTGCAGAACTTAACATCAGTCCATATCTAAAGCATGTAAGAGGCAGATCATTGTTGAGTGTTTTCAGACTTACAGTGCAGCAGTGGTTGATGAATCGTGCCAGGTTCCCACACTTGGTGGCATCTATAATCGTATCATGGTCCACTCTGAACAAGTAGCTGCTCCCGATGCCCTGCTGTGCGTAACGCTTCTCTCGATTGTCAGCCACCATCTGCGCATAAAGAACATTTTCTGACTGACCACACCCTCAAAGTGTCTGAAAAACTGCAATTCACATACAGTCATATCAATATTACAATGCAAGAGTAAGGGTCCAACACAGCAGGACTCTTAGAGATTTATTATTTGTATAAGTATTTTACAGATTTGTTTAGATGGCAACAGTGGATAATGAAAACATTTAGATGTCAAGATGGCTGAAAAGTTTCAAAAACCATCACTGGTTAAACACAAACTCCTTATAAGTCATACCTGTCTTATGTTTTGACCCACATACTCAATGACCATCTCATCAGCAGCAATGGGCTCCATCGCAAACAGGCCCATTCGTGGATTCGGCTGCGTCCGAAACGAAGCCTCTTCTTTCGGAACTGCATCAGGACAGAGCGGATGTAATTTAAGAGGAGCCTTACTAGCAATAGATATTTTTATAAACTAACCTGTCCTGAATTAACAGACAGCTTTAAGTATTTACAGGCTATATCTTTGTTTTATAATTGGATCTTCAACAATTCAAAAAGGTAAACTAATCCAAGTTGATAATTTGGTGTGAAAACCAGAAAAAAAATAAATTGTTGACTAGAATAAGAACATGCAAAAAAGGCCCACACCCAAAAGTTTGACCACTGACCTACTGTAGTGAGCAGATTTTCTGCACGTTTAGCACAGAGGCAGATCTGTGACTCGACCCCGGATTTGTGTAACAATGAAAGCCAGAGATACAGCCTCTTTCAAAACCAAACACACACACGCACACAAAACGAGACAAGAGCCACCTTCCAAAAAAACGCCTATTCAGACATTGCATTAACAAATAAACAAATTCATCTTGAAACCAAAAGATAACCCACCATTGTGAAGGTAAAATTTCTGCATTCAGCCCTGAGTTTCATGTTGTGAAGCTTGGAAAAACCTTTGCGAGTTTTGATTAATAAACCACAGAGTTCGTGTCAAAATTGGTCTTGTTTGTAGTCTAAGTCTGGACTTAAAGAAGTCCAGATGCTTTTCTTTCCAAGCTACGATGACCGATGACTGAGAACCTTCACAGATGTCTTGTTTGTATTGTGTTTAGACTGTAAAACATGTTGGTATATATCCTACTAAATTCAGCTATGCGCTTCTAAAAGCATGGAATCAGTTTCAGGCTCTGGAAATTTATTCCTTAGATGACCTTTTGATTACACTCGTGAACTGTAAACCATTTAATTTATTGTGTCAGGTGGCATAACTTACAGTGTTTTTGTTTTTTAAGCAAAGATTTTTTTTTAAAGTTAAATCTGTTGACAAGTCGCAGGTTGCAGTTTAACTTTGTCCTTTAGCTTGTAAGTGACCACATGAATATAGTACTGCTTGTACCTTAAGCTGGTTGAGTTTAAGCAGGTCAGAGTCCATGACAGCAGTGGTGCCGATGACAGTGAGGAGGCGGCGCTGCTCTGAACGTCTCTCTGATAGCACTCGGTTAGCCCTGCCAAGAAAAACAAAAGAGCTTCAGAGAGTGCAACGGTTACACTAAGACTTCATCAGATGGCCTTGACGGGTAACAGCATGAACCTCAATTTCCAATACCCCTGCTCTTGTAGCAGAGGTTCATTTGCGAAAGAGATATGACTGGAAAAGTTATTACGCAAGAATAGAAGCAAGTCTGCCCTCGAATACTTCAGTCCCAACTACTGCCTCCCTCTATTATGTTCAATAATTAAATTCTTCAGATGTTAACTTGTGTTCCTTATACATATCAAAAATTACTCTCATAACTACTGTGAAAAAACTTGAGTGTTAAAGGGAGCCCAGCAGTGTAACTGTAGCACAAATTTCCAAAAACAAGGAAAAGGAATCTATGGAAAAAATGAAGCAGCTGAAACTTCCTTAGAAACTTCAAACTGAAACAAAATGAACTGACATGTTCTCATGCTACGTCTCAAACATCATTTTAGATTTTGTCAGACTATGCAACTTCTGTGTTTTTACAACCAATTAATGCTTTGCTTTCAGTACTAAACAGATCAATATTACAATCAAGATAATAATCCATGAGATTACATTTCATGTTTCACCTATAAAGCTAAGTGAAACAGCTGTTTCAATGTATCACCATGAAGTTAAATCATGTGTGTCTGTTGCTCTGTGTGCGGGGGAGGGGGAGAGATCCTCCTGAGTATCAGTAACTCTTTAAGCCTGCCACAAATCTTTGGTTTGAAAACATAAACAGGGATTATTCATCACGACACATCTCTTTGTTCCTGATATAAGCACATAAAAACCTCAAAGCAGCAGACATATCTCAGTTATTGGGACTTTGATCAGATAATAAAAGACGCAGACTGATGTGGTGCCCCAGTTACATCTCATTCTGTGCGGAGTCTGAATTAGTCTGTAACTCTAGAAACAGCAAGACTGCATAAAACATGCCACAGTAAAATAGAATAATTTGTGTGTATTATTCTAAGGAACTATGCTTGTGTCCATGGAAGCAGTAAGGGAAAGCACAACAGCTAAATGGGAAATACATTACGGAGGAATAAACCTTGCACAGCAACACGATAACGTGGATTTTCCACTCTTAACTCACACAAACACTAAGTGAGCTGATTTTTCAAATGTTCCTGCGTTCCATGACAATCTGGCATTTGTGGAGGATAACTGGCTGCACATGGGACCAATGACGGTGCATCATATGAGTGTCTGACGAGCATCAAGATCATCACCCCCAAGTGACCCAAACCTTATTTGCAGGCATTATAAAAGAGGAACGTTGCATGATGAAATCATAGAATCATCACAGTAATAGCCATATTTAGGCCTATGATAAATGTGTGGGGCTCTGTGACCCCTCTTACTCCTTTTTTTTCTGCTTTTGACTCTAGGCAGACTTATCAGAAAGCTTTCCCTGCACTTACACCAAAGTAATACTCACAAAGAGCTGAAAATAACTGTTAAAAATACTGTGACGCATTCAGGACACATACTATGTTACTGCCCAGCATTATGCACCGGGCAACCATAGCTCTGTAGGTTAAAGCT